AAAACAACCCCATCCTCTTAGTTTCATGTGCACAATGTGGAGGAAACAGTGAACTTTTCCAGCATGCTTGGATGATCTACCAGGTTAACCTGAACATAATGGTTTTCGGTCATATAAACTAACAGCAGTGATCAAGTGGACCAGACGAACTCTTCAGAAACAAGTTGTTCTATAGTAGGCGCGTAAATATTGACACTCATTTCATTTTGGTGAACTGATTCATTGTGCGACCTTCACAGCAAGATTTTCAATCCTCAGGAATCATAAATTAATGAAGTAAACAACCTTAAACACATTCGTGAGTTAGGAGGACTTATACACTATCAAAAGATGAAATCCCACTTTTGCTGGAATTCGTTGCGTGGGAGAACAACTTTGGTGGATCCAGCATACGTTTGTTCCTAGAGCAGTTCCTCGCGAACAGCTCTTTTACAAGCTCAAGAAACTGAGTAATAACCTGCAGATGCCCGTCTATATGTGGACGCCAACTCACTTCAGCTGACCACCAGATAGACTGATTAACCCTGAGACGAAAGTTTATAGAAGTTGAACATAGCTTACTTTCAGGTGGCAACAGGAGCTGACGAACCTGTTACTGCCCTCACATGAGGTTTCCGTGGGAAGGCGGAACAGTTACGGATCCATCAGTCTTAACTGAATATCAGCAATAACGTCGATATTGTAGAAATGTCCGTGCGCAGAAATAGCCGCGCCAAAATACGGTGCGCGTTGTCGAGGAAAAATCAGCGCAATGACCTATACCAGAGTGTATCATGGAAATTTTTTACCAGCTTAAATGTTCCGGAATCCTCAATTATTCAGCCTTTAAATGAGAAAGACATGTACTTCCTCCATTCTTTCCTGAACATACTTCTCGGCGTCACACCGAAGACGCCTACCCACTTAGGAGTTTAGAAACCATCTTTGTCCGTCTAAAACGTGGAGAACCTCCCTCAAAAACGTCCCACAGCGTATCAGATTATCAATGCCAAATCTATAGCAAACAGCCAAACTAGCGAACCGTAGTTGCGGTGTCAGAGAGTCGAAAATAAACCACTAAACTCGAGTGCAAAAAGGCAAATAGGTGTGTGGGCATAAAATTGAGCGATGAATAGACCCCAAAGTCTTTCTATCAGAAATCATTGTTTTGGAAAAAATCGCCGTAGAACTTGTAAATTTACACACACCTTCAGCTGCGCGTGTTTGGTGGGTGTACCATATCCAATTACCCGCTCCCTTTCGAGGCACACCTTGTCATATATGTTTGACGGACTGGTCAGTGGTCAGTTGTTTATATTTATGATGATGCTAAACGAAGTTTCAGCCTTAGTTTAGTGTTGTGTTAAATGCCACCAAGCCTAGACTTCGCTTGTGACCCGTAGGTCGACAGATCAGTGATATCTGAATTTTCGACACAGCTGAAATAAGCTTGATAGTTACGTGCTTACCACACTGGAGCGGTTATTTATCTTAATTAGGTATGTAAATTCCCTGATTAGTTGGAGTGGCTCTTCCTTCAGGCTAGATCAATACCGGCGAAAGAATTCACCTTAAACCCCGAGAAAGATATGTGAGACCGAAGCCGAAACCTGTCAGATTTGCGCTTTTCAATCTCGATTTTCCCTTAGGCAATCCCACAATGTCAGCATGTCGTATGTACCATAATAGTTTTCGTTTGGAGGCTCGATCAGCCAATGTGCGACGGTTGGCGATTTTCAAAGACTTGAGCGTGTCTCGCAACTACTACCAACCAATCGCCCGTTGCCTATCAGAAATACGGAATTCAAGGTCAGATACGAACTTCGTGCTACTTAAGTGACATGAGTTTTCGTTGGAGGCTCGATCAGCCAATGTGCGACGGTTGGCGATTTTCAAAGACTTGAGCGTGTCTCGCAACTACTACCAACCAATCGCCCGTTGCCTATCAGAAATACGGAATTCAAGGTCAGATACGAACTTCGTGCTACTTAAGTGACATGTTCGTCTCGTTTGTATTAAAGCCGTTGTGTTTGCCGTTGGTGAGTTTTTTTTCGGAATCGCTGCACTAGAGCAAATAGTTACAACTATTTTGGACATGTGGCTAGATAACCTCATTGCAAAATTAAGTTGGTTTTAATAGGAGACTCAACTGAATCTTTGCTGAGTCCATCGTTTATGATATTCCTTAACTGACTGTGGTGTAAAAAGACTGTCCCATGTATCGAAATGTCACATTGTATCATGTTGACATGGTACACTACTAACGAGGTTTCTGAAAAGCCAAGTGACTCGGGAACTCGTATTAAAGCCCTGGTCTATCACACTTTGCAACTGTGGAAATTGCATGAATCTGTGTACCCGGGTTTAAGGTAAAAGTGAATTTCTTATGGAGCTCCCCAAGGTTATTAAAGAAACTACTGTAATATCCCAACCATTGACGTGAAATTATTGCCCAACACTGGTGCTTTATTGTGGAGTTTTGATGGACCAGTAACACGAAAATCTCGATCGTCGATTGCCTTTCAGATGATCAGGGTGGCATTCCACATGATCACATTCAAATCGGCTACTTCCTGAAGCTTTGCGCACCTATTTCATAAACAAATGCAAACAATTTACGGTACATCGGACAGATACAACATCCTGCCTATAAAGTTGCTAAGAACTTCGACAGCCGACGGGGTTCTTCAGTCTTGGGGTTCATCAGATAGGCGCACTTCCCGAGTTTCCGTCAACCCCATGCTCTATTTATACCCAAATTGCACGAACGTTGATAAATAGACTAATTTGCATACCACTATGGTTTTCACGAAACTCACTGAAACCTAGCTGAATCTCTCGTTTGGGTTATTTTCCTTTGACTGAATTTGCTTCGTCAGGTTGCCCAATGTTACATTTGGTACGGTATTTGAAGTATCGTAGTACATTTCATTGACGTACCACACTACTCATAAGGTTGCTGGCTGCTCGCTCAAAACCAAATTGATATGAACTGTTATACAGTATGCTCCTCCTAGGCGGAGCAACACCGTCGGAAGGTGCCGTGATGCCCCTTCTTGGGAGGGGGACCAACATGCTCTATTTATACCCAAATTGCACGAACGTTGATAAATAGACTAATTTGCATACCACTATGGTTTTCACGAAACTCACTGAAACCTAGCTGAATCTCTCGTTTGGGTTATTTTCCTTTGACTGAATTTGCTTCGTCAGGTTGCCCAATGTTACATTTGGTACGGTATTTGAAGTATCGTAGTACATTTCATTGACGTACCACACTACTCATAAGGTTGCTGAAAACTCGCTCAAAACCAAATTGATATGAACTGTTATACAGTATGCTCCTCCTAGGCGGAGCAACACCGTCGGAAGGTGCCGTGATGCCCCTTCTTGGGAGGGGGACCAACTGAAATTGTATCGCATAACTGCTTTACTACGGCAATGAAATTCCATCTTATCCGGGTGCTTTTCAGCGGTTTCAATGAGGAAGGGAGTGAATTTTTCATTTCACCTAAAGTGGGGAGTATCATGTATGCCTGTGATTCACACATACGAACGAAACACGTTGAACATGTATAGTGATCATAATCTCCGCATATTCTAGGCCATTGTAGGCGGCGTTTTTCGATCTATCAAAACTTGAACAAGAACAGCAATCCCCGTTGAATTTTCAGGAGGCTGTATTCCTGTATAACAGAGATAATTTTGATTATTAGGACCTCGAGAACTATTGAGTTACTTGACGTTACCTCATCCTGCGTTGATCCGTTTTTTCTTGAGACGGTATGTCGGCTGCATATTATTCCAACGAATGGGGTTAGTGTAGTCGGGGCCAATTTTCCAGCTAAGTCGTTTCAGCAGAAGTTCTTTAATGTGGCGTTTTGTAGTATGTGGGCTGTGTTATGGAGTATACTGCTTGCTAGTAGCGCAGGTTATTCCCACTGTAGGCTCTTCTGTTGGAGTGTATCAGCCATTCTGGAAACCAGATATTGCCTCTTCATTTCCGAGGAATTTAGTTTCCACAGCGTGAAACTGCAATGTAAAAATACGTGCATCCTAGGTTATCTCTGCAGCAGTGTTTGGAAACAAGGGCCACTATCTCACACTTCGAAGTAGCTCGATGATTCGCTGCTTTTGATGGACGTGTCAGCTTCTACATAAGAGCAGTTTTCCCGGAGGTGAGCCACTCTAAGTAACTGAACTTCATGTCGATTTGACGAATGTTTGACGAGTCACGTGTGATCAAAGGTATGCCCTGATTCGTCAGAATGTGAGCCAGTCAGGGGCGTGCACTTTTATCTTGGCACTAATTACCTCACCAAGAAACTACAGCTGGACACTGGAAAATCCTGTAAATACACATGGAACGGATTCCCCTCTCCAGCAAAGCTGTATCAAGCTACCATGTCTTCTGATACACCCCAGTGGGCGGAACATCAGGCACAAAAGTGCTGCAATAGCGTTTGTATTACATAACACATTTGAATGTTTTCCCCCTGCCTTTTCAAAGTCCCCTTTTGGAGACTGATAGGCTTGATTGATGAACTTAAATCCTAAGCGTCTGTTAGGACTGGTCATATGCACTATACAGCAATATGCTAATGTTCAACCGAAGTCTTTATTTTTAGCCCTCCAAATATCCTACTATATTTGAACTACAAGCGTTACGGGTCATCTGGATATAAACAATCAACAAGAGAACCTTTACCAAGGTGACGCTAACACCGTCCCTGTAGTTGATTTGTTATTAGTTCCCCAATTCACACACCGCGCATCTCTCCGTAACAGTAAATGAGATACAGATTATTTAACTCTCATCAGTATCCTCTCTCAGTTTTTGGTGGTGAGAGCACCTCTGGTAATTGCAGTGCAGCATTTTACTCCAAACGCTACAGAATCATTTTGTTCTATCGATCTTAAAACCTAATCACAATGGTTTTCTTATAAGTTCAGTGTCTGTCATTCGATGTTCCGACGTTAATACCATCCACATTTCATTTTTTCAGCCGGCCGGTTGGTCAATGGGCGTAATACATCAGCTGTCTAGTAGTCTGTGTGCTTCAAAGTTGGCACTTTCGCTATTTGTGCTCAGTCTGTTTTTCCAGCTCATAGTCTTGCTGATCCATGTTTTCCCTCAAAGATCAGTATCGTCTGATTTTACTGAGATTCCCTTCATCTACTTCTCGCGTTCCCGTATCAATTCTTCGGCAATCTCCAGCCTGCTCGAGCCATCGCCTGCTTTCACTTACTTTCTGTCATCCGGTCAGTCTAACCAATCTCTGAAGCCTAATTCGCCACCTGCTAAGGTGCATGCTCGTTTGTTTGTGGATCCAATAGAATCCACCGGTTCAGAAGAGTTGAAGTTCCCTTTGGACATTGACATGCCCGAAGTAGTCCGACGTGGGCTTCACAACCTACCCGTCAGTCACAAACCAATCAATGATCCCCAATTCAAAGTGCTGATTTCTAACAAGAACAAATGCATGGATGTTGAAACTATGTACGGAGGCCCTGTTGAATTACTAATTCTCATAAAATCGGCCCCTGATCATTTTATTCAGCGTGATACAATTCGGCTCACGTGGGGGAAGGAACATTGTTGGGGAGGACGTCGAGTTGTCCGACTCTTTCTGCTTGGAACCGTGTCCACGACAAATCGGACTCTATCAGGTCGCCTCACAACTGAAGCTGCATTTTACAGTGACATAATTCAACAGGATTTTTATGACCACTACTACAATAACACATACAAAATTATGTTTGGTATTGACTGGGCGGTTCAATTTTGTTCCAACGCATCTTTATTGATGTTCGTGGATGATGACTTTTTTGTCTATCCGCAAAACGTGGTCGCCTACATGGAGGGACTGAGTGAGGGACTTCTCCAACGATTAATCGCTGGCTACGTATGGCGCAACGCGAGACCTTTTCGAGCCTCTAAATCCAAATCCAAATGGTGGATTTCACGAACAGAATACCCCAATGAGGAATATCCTGTGTACGTCGCTGCTGGAAATTTCTTCCTCTCCATGCAAATGGCTAGGGAGTTCCATATCGCCGCACGCTACACTCGTTACCTTCGATTTGATGATGTGTTCTTGGGTATTTTGTTAAGGAAGCTTCTCCGAGTCCCAATACATTTGTCTCATATCTACGCATATGTTCCAGTCAATGTATCTTCCAAGGTACAACTAAAAAACATGTTATCTAGTCACCAATATGCCAGACCGTCTGACGTGTTTGCGCAATGGGATCGGTTAAAATGTGATACGTTTTGCGTATGACCATATCTACTCTATCGATAGCTCATTGGCTACCACGATTTCCTCCCCTCACTTTTATTGATCTGCAACAGCAACCGAAAGGTTGTAAATTGCTGGTTGTACGATCTTGACTTCTGTTCGTCTGCCTTTCTTATTTTTTGATCCCGCTTTTTTGTTTGATATTTTTCTACTTTGATATCATGGAAAGATACAAAGTAACTGGACCCGATTAACCGGTGTTTGTAATAGATTTCTTTGAAGATTTACCAGTTTATTGATTCTCCGGACAGTAGGCTTGCATTTTCTCTTCTGTCGCCCGTTCACTTGACCCGTTTAGATGCACGAGTCTGGACTCACATCACCCGCTCGATTTTCACGGTACTTTAAGTATTAGCAAACAGAAAAGCTTTCACTTAGGCTCCGTTTCGCCGAAGTCATCGCCCACCCGCAGGATGTTTTACGGAGGTTTTGAAACTGAGAATGAAAGTGAAACGCCCTCTGTCTTGCTACTTTTCACACCAAATTCCTACTTTATGACCACATTCCAGCTTATGGTTTTTAAGCCCTGGTTTTAGAAACGAAAAGCCTCCGAAATGTTGTCCGGTGAACGTGTGCAAAACGTCCCATGTCTATTAGGAATCCGTCGTATTTTGGACGGATCAGTAGTCTACTTTGCGCGAATACTGTGCACAGCCGTACCACCCTGTTTTAAGGAGGCTTTGTGAAAGAAACGCAAGACTAAAGGCCATCGTATGTCTAATCCCCAAAAGATTTGTGCTACAATACTTTGCAATGCAAGCCGTATATCCTACCGGTGTAGCAACTTCATCGCATGTCAGTTCTGGATTTATCCATTTTTTTCGGACACTACTCCTTTTTCCTGCTAGACTCGCGACTCTTCTTTCTGACGCTGACGGAACAAAAAATGATCTGTAATGTGTTGAAATATTGGTAGCTCGGGTGAGTTTATTGGTCGTTGATCTGTTCGCTGAGCTTGGCAATTGGCTTGCAAACTTTTCGTCACCACACGAGGACACATCATCAGTGTGCACCCAACTGCGCACTGATGATATCTCCTCGTATGGTGACGTAAAGTTTGCATGCCAATTGTCAAGCTCGACGAACAGATCAACGGCCACTTGATCAACAATCAAAAAATGACCTGTCATACTAGTAAAGAGAAGGATCGTTGTGTTCCATTTTTCATGCGTCAAACATGAATGTGGTGGTTTTCGTTATCTGCAAAAATTAACTGATTAATGCCACAGTGCGGTAGTGTGGACAAAGCAATGAACTCGGAGGGCGATTACCATTGGGTTAACACATAACGGCCGCTGCTTTCATGGAGGACTTCGACCACCGACTAGCTTAATCGTTGGCTACCAACCCTTGTTGATGTAGTCGGTAGATACGCTGAGGTCTTGACAATTCTTTGCGTGCTCATCTGGGGCATATCTGCACCTCAATTTTGATAAGGCTCACCAGCGCCAATACCCTTGAGTGGTTCGATTTCCAAAAAGAGCCAAAGCACAGTACGCAAGTGATCTGGCTTATCTACACGGTCTGTCTTATTGACTTGTCAGCGGATACAAAAGTGAACCAAATGTGGTTCCGATTGGACTGACTAGTGACGAACAATGATGCTGAATCCTGAACTCAGCTCAATGGAAAAACAATATTGATTTATCGTTCCAAAGAATTACTCGCATTACATTATGACTAAATTTTATCTTGGTCGAGTGGACTTTTCAGAGCGTAAATTGTTTACCACCAAACCAGGGTAGAAATACACTCAAGCTTAAGGTCACGAATTAGAGTTGAGATAACTTTCAGTCTTCGGCGGGTGCAGACTCAGTTGAGAAACTTGCCATTTGTGTTAGGTCCTCCATCACGTCCGTCTCATATTCCGTAGCAAAATATCCGTCAACTGTTTCAACGAGTGAAATTTTATCACTGGGTTTCGAATTCTCGCTACCTGTATCCTCGGTCATTCAAGGTCTTTTCACAAGATGCGTAGTTTTTATGACGAGGCTGTACTGTATTTGTTTCTTCGTCAAGCCGGTTCTATATCGATCGAACAGAAGTCTGTTGCTATTTAGCTGTATTTTAGTTTCAAGATCTCAAGATGGGCGACTAAATAAGTTGGCGTAATTGTACGATTACGAAGGAAGGTACAGGAGTGGTCAAAAGATTCAGGAAGATTGACGCTCAAAGTGACGTCTAATTGGAGCATTCTGAACCGCCGTCCCGCTTGAGCAGCATAGGAGACCAGTCGTCCCGGATTTTCCAATTCGGATCGTACCGAAGCTCAGTGCGCCGATTAATGCGGTCTTCACGCTAGCGTATTCCAGATTACCCAACTGTGTTTCCAATCAGTAACTAGGATGACCCTGAACAAAGAATTTCCATCGGCGGTACAAAAGGAAGGTACAGTAAGTCGGATTGGAACTGAGATGTGTTGCACTCCAGGGGCCGTAATTATCAGTAACTAGGATGACCCTGAACGAAGAATTTCCATCGGTGGTACAAAAGGAAGGTACATTAAGGCGGATTGGAAGTGAGATGTGTTGCACTCCAGGGGCCGTAATTTAAGAATGCGCGTTAAGCGACATCGTTCATCTTGATGAGTTTTCCACCAGAGACCTTTAATAAAGTGGACAACCAGATGTCTATCGAATCAACCATAGTGATATGCAACCGACCTCCCTCTTATGCGATCATCTAAGCGAGCTCCTCCTAACGATGTACGAATGCCTATTGAGAACGTGCTGAGGGATACAACTGGTGAAAACGGTCTTAGAAGTTTTTGTCCGCTATTTCCAGAAGCAGCTACCGCATAGTCGTAGATACATGTTTTGTGGTTTTGTGGTTTGTTTGCTTTCTACCTTGGTGGATATAACATTCTTATTCAATACTGAACTGAGAATAGCTTGGGGGTTTCACACTTGTTTGATTCAGAAGCGCACCCTTGTCGACACTTAACGGAATCACCTTCAGAGGACATGCATGTCGTCGCCGTTACTCTATTACGTCAATCTAATCGATGATGCCAAAGTGATGTTATCTGCCGGCATGTACTATCCATTCTCCGACGATAGATTGCTGTATATTGTCTTATTCTTCGTCATCCTGTGAAGAGGCGTTTGTTTTTACTGCTGTATTGCAACTGTTGTTCGTCTTACCGGGAACGCCACTAATAGAATAACTAGAATAGTTTACGTTACTAAATCCCAAGATTGCACCCGTAAATTTGACCATAGCATCCCGAGCACCAAAGTGGACCAGTGAGCTATTTTAGCTGGAAAACATTACAGTGGAAGTCCAGTTGTAACCGAAAATATGTCTTTGGGTTAAATTAGACCAACTATTCCAACAGAGTAACTAAAACGGCTGCTGTGCGTAACCCTTATGCACCCGAAATTTACATGTGATTCGCCAACTAGCTCGAACGATTATGCACATTCACAGGGCAGACGACTGAAAAAAGTGAATTGATCTAATTGAATGGTCGCATCGTTTTTGAAGATTACTGTACACAAATAATTCAAACAAATGGTTGATAATTTTACAACTAAAAGTGGACTGAATGTTCTTGTAGAAAATCGAGGCGCTAGCCTACATGCGCTGACCAGATAACTATTTTTTCACTTAAATCCTGGTGTTATCTTGCCAAACCAGTTGCGCAATTCCGAGTAGCGGTCCATACACCAAGGGAGATTCAGTGTATACTTCAGTCGATCGTTGCAAGTCAGATCATTGTGTCCATTGTCATTGTTTCGCAAAAACAGTATGACCAAACACAAGAGAAACTATCAGCAGTACCGAACGTTGGGCCGTAATTGGGTCAGTTAGAAGGCTGGTGAGCTGAGTCAAATTTACACTGTCATCTCGAATGCTACCTACCCTATGTTTTGAGTTTAGTCCGTTAGGGTACCCATTAGTTAAACTTGCGCTTGGCTTTCGACCGTCAACACACGAACTTCTTACTCAGGCACGTACAAAACACCAGTCAGACAGCGATCACTCAGCATGCACCCGGTTTTCGCCATCAACCGAAAGTCTGAACATACGTACAACACGTATCCTTTGTGCGCAACACAGCGCAGGAGCTTTGACACTGTAACGAACGTGATCCGTACACTGAACACGTGGCAGTGTAGCTATCACGCATATCGCGTCTGAACGGCGCTTGCGCACGAACAACAGCAGGTTTTTTTCAGTCAGGACCTTGTTCGGACAATTCTCCTTAGAACGGAATAATTTCGCACACAGGATGAAGGAAAGCAGCGCGGAAAACTAAAGTCGGTAATTTTCGATGGAATAAAATAGTGACGAATATGCTTATATAATCCATCCAAACGGGTTTTTAGGTGTCCCTTTGCTGGAAATCGGGATGCCAAAGTGGCCGCTTCCGTCTATACATCGCGTTGTGACAGTAGGGCGTGCCTTCCCACAACCCACAGCCCACAAACAGATTTCATATCTTGTACATCTAAATTAGCCGAAATTCGGTCCAACTGACAGCGGTTATTTTCATATATTCTAATGCAATCTACACTGCAGAAACGGGACTGTTGTCTCTAACATTGGAATGAATACTATCGACTTGGTACAGTGATTCCTGATTAGATTAGTTCGAATCATCCCTAATCCGCTCTGAAGAGAACATTCACGCGAGAAAACGCTCAGACAGGAAAACGGCCTGTACAAATAATCGCAGATATGAATTGTTTTCGTAATTTAAATTTTCTAGACATGACCCCTATCGTGATCCCTCATCTAAAATTGGCCGCAAAAGTGTAATTTTGCTACCTGTGAAGTCTGCTGAATGGAAAGACAACCTGGCTGAGACTATCTGAGCATCGAACGTCTGATGCGTCGACCCCATTTCCTTGATCTATGCAAATACAATGGATGATTTGCACACAACATAGCAAGCAGACGGTAGTAACATATATAGCCGTTCTAGCAAAGATTCGGACTGCATAGAATCACAGTTAGCAAACGGACTGGCCAAATAG